ATTAGAGTCAAATTTTCAGACTAACAAGACAAATAATCTTACACATTGTGAAAACAAGATGATTATTCTTACACAATCAGTTCTTGTTTAGGAAATCAGTCTGAAAACAAGATCAAAAAGACTTTTTGTCTGAAATAAGGTTTTAAAACTTGGTAAGATGGACAGTTTTTACAGTGTATGGTTCCACAGCTTCTGAATGAGCTGCTTCTTTACCTTCCTGGGTTCTCTCTGCAGATATTCAGGCTTCAGATGGTTCTCTTCTTCTTCTTCTTCTTGTTCAGGATTCTAAACCAGACGAACATCAAAGGACTTTAATGCTCTGTTGTCTGGAGGAAACATTGATCATTGCACTGCTGTTCTTCCAACTTTTCTTCTCCAGTTTTATGTAAATGTCAACTATTTTTTAGAACAGGTTGAAAATAATAATACTAAGGACAAAACAACATAGAAATCAATTTGTGCTTCAGTTTTTTTGTCTGTTAGAAATTTCATTAATCCAACTTCCAGCCATGTGATGTTATCTTTCACACATGTTTAACACATTTAAAATGTGTATTTGGTGAGAAAATATAAGCTGGATACTGCACGAGGTGATCTACAAATAATGAAAAATCACCCTGAGATCAACAAGAATTAGGAGAAAAGTCTTAGTTTTGTTTAAAAAATGTATTAAACCAAAAAAAATGAAAGTCTCTGACACTCATAAATGTTAGTCATTGTCGATACATTATTTTTTATCTTTACTCTCAGAAGTTATTTGGTGCAATTATATACTGATTATTTTCATGGGGAAAATGATGGACAAAGGCCTGAATAATTCAGTATTTACATTTTGTCAAAAAAGGTTTTTTTGCCCCAACATGTCAGAATTTAGATAAATGTGCATTTAATTATTTTTTTGTAACACAAAACTGGAAGAGTTTATTATTTTAATATAACATTATGTAGCATGCTTAAAAACTAGGTTGACCAAAATATTTTAGGAGTTCCTTAAAAACAAAAAGGCCATAAATAAACAAAATAAAATAAATCATGAAAAATATTTAAAACAAAACATCAAAAACGCAAAATGAGTTGGAATCAGAAGCCAATATAAAGAAATTATTTTTCAAAGATGATCAAAAAGACTCATCAAGGAACAAACACTTCTTACTTTGTGACATAAAAGCTTTATGTTTTACTTTCAGAGTTCTATGTTATAATCCTCTAATCATATTTAAATCCCTTCTACAGGTGTGGATAAAACCAGGGCCGGTGCTAACCAATGTGATGCCCAGGGCAAGATTCCAGGTGGCACCTCTTGTGCAGTGTTCAAAATGTCGTTGCTAATTCACATCCGTTCACAAACCAAATTAAATAGTTTTGTTCTTGACATTATTTTTTATCTTTATAAACCCAGCTGTTTGATTAAAACAGTTGACAGAATAATTCATTTGAAACAGAATACCAGAAGTCTACYTCATACCTGCCAACATCTGCTGACAGCAACAAGGAAGTTATGACACCTAATGTAGTAACAAAGCAGCTGAGACACACACAGGATGTTACCTTTATAAACCAGAGTACCCAGAGATTTTTCTACAGGTTAAATCAACTATACTCTGATAAAAAGAGAATTTTTTTCGTCTCCCATTCTTGGCGACCCCCAATGTGGACCGCGCCATTAGCATTTGCCTAAATGGCCTATGGCATGGGCCAGCTCTGGATAACACCCAAATAACCTGCTGTACTTCGGGTGTTTGAACCTAAAGCCTGATTAAAGCTAATTAAACCCAAACGGAAAATGTTATCAGCATTTAATATTGAGCTGAACCTTTGTATAGAAGATTTGCAGACGGTTGAACTGATGTCTCTGATTTCATCAGCCTGCACTGTGTCTGTGTGTCTTCCTCACTTCCTGTTGAGGCATCAGCTGAATCATGAGGCTCACATTAGTCCTCCTCTCTGCAGGGTTCCTGAACCTTTGATCTGCAGATGCTCTCAGCTGGAGTTTAGTTTGTTGTGGGAGGTTTCAGAGAGAAAAATGGACTGTTTCCTCACGCTCTTTTTTCTTGCAGGTAAAACAAGTTTTTCATAGTAAAAGGAAATTAATTATTTGTACAATTTTTTTTCATTATATAACTAATTCCTGTTTAATGCAGTCATTTCAGATCTTGGTCTGGGTCTTGAGGTTCGTCAGTCCCATTCTAATGTCGTCGTAAAGCCTGGTGACAAGGTTCAGATTTTTTGCACCCATGAAAAGACTGACTACAGAGTGATGCTCTGGTACCAGCGCTCACCTGGACACACAGCTATGAAGCTCATTGGACATGTGTACTTTAAAGACACGACCATGGAGGAGACATATAAAGATGATTTTATCATCTCTGGAGATATGAGTGGGAGCACAGCAAAAAACGGTTCTCTGACAATCAGCGCTCCAGAACAAAAGCACACTGCGGTGTATTTCTGTGCAGCAAGTGAAGCACAATGAGAAAAATCCTCTCTGTTCTTCACAAAAACTAAACAGTGTTTTTTTTTTATCATCAGTGGTTTTCAGTTCAGCTTTCAAGCAGCTGTTTTTGTGGTTAATATTTATTCATTAGTATTTTCTAATTCAGTATTCACACTTTTGTTTTTGTTTTTATTTCTTTTTTCAATCTAACTGCTTCTGTGTACTTTGGACTACCTTAGCTA